TAGCCCGCATCAATTATTACTATCTTTAAAAATCTTTTATCATTTATTATTTATTTCCAACCTCAATATAAAAAATAAGATACAAAATCCTCATAATTATTTTTAAGAATATAACCAGCAATTCATCCGATAAATACATAAGAAAATGTGAACTCTAAATATATAAAAAAATATTTAAAAACAGACCAACAGAAGAGAAATATGCAAAACGAATTCTTACTCCACATTTTGAGAATAGAAATATAAATTTATGATACCTAACCCCCATGCGGGGTTTCCCTTCTTGTCTGGAGTTTAGGAAAGCGGGTTCGCTCATCATTCCAAAATTTGCAACAAATCTGAAAGAATTGTTGGCTTAATATTTAATGGAAAAGGTTCTTTTTCTAATTACGTAAAAGTCGGTGCATCAATGTAGTGGTTCAGAAATTGAAGCATCTAGGTCCCTGTTTTTGTAAATAGCAATATTTCAGATGTTACCTCTCTGCATTTTGTAAATGTAATTATTAATCATAAAATTTTTTAAAAGCAGCAAAAAAAAAAAAAATCTACAAAACTTGATTCATTTTCTTATTGAGTTTGAGTCGAATATTTAAACATGAAATCAATCAGTGTTTAAATTAACGAGTGTATTGCATACATTCCACTCAAAATATTATTATTTACATACATACATACATACATACATACATACATATATGTTTATAAGCTAGACTAAATTGAATTTAATGAGCAGTGAGAAGATTTCAAGCTAAAACATATCGAAAACACTCAACTTGAGCATGTTAGTTTTGATTTCAAGCAGGAACGATCCGATTTCGAGCCAAAGCAGATTCAAATAACTCAATTTGAGATAGCTCAGTTCAATTTCAAGCTGGATGGAGCTTGATTCACTTTTGAGTCAAACTGACTTAGAAATCGATTATAACAAGCCACAAGCCGGTTTCAAGCCCCGTTCAATCCATTCGGGCCGTTCCAGCTAACCCCAACTCGGCTCGAAATCAGGCCTTTAGTAGCCCCATCAAGAATGAAATAAGCCGAATATGGTCTTACACAAAGAGAAGAGACCAAATTATAGAAATATGTTCAAAATTGGACAATCATCACTAATTGGCTTTGGAATTTCGGTTCCAATGTGAAAGAAGTCCGACCCCATGATTAGTCCAACAAGGGCATCTCCGTTGAAATAAAGCGGCCGTTGCTGACAATTGCTAGACGTTTGACTTCAAGCTTGAATGCAATTAAAAGCCGCGTAGGCCCAACGGTTTCAGCCAATTCTAATCCCCACCATAATAAATAAATAAATAAATAAATAAATAAATAAATAAATAAATAATACATCCCTAGTGTAAGAGATAAGTAATGAGTATTAAAATATATGGATTTAATTCCTAATATTAGAGGAAGAATCTTCCCTCTGAACATAGATTAAATTTAATTGATCATATTAATCTGTTTCTAATATTGTCCGTCTCTTGACCATTTCCTTGCGTGCTTAACATGCAATGTTTCAGATCTCCCTTCAATATCTGTCGAACCTCACAAGATCAAAACAATTCTACAGATTATAACAAAAAGCTTTCTTTTTTTCCCATTTTTGAAGCTTTTTGATGCAGTTTCTTTCTTAATCTCCATTCTTATTCCTGTACAATGGTTTTCTGGTCCACCCATTTCATTCTTCTCTTCTTCCTCGCTTCTCTCCCCAACACATGCTTCTTCCGCCCTGCAACTGCTGATTCTTCTTGCCTCCTTGAGAACTACACCTGTGGAAACATAACTGTGGGCATAAAGTTTCCTTTCTACACCAACAGTTCAGTCCAGTCTTGCTCTGGTCTGCACTTCATACAGTGCATCGATCTGGTGCCGGCCGTTCGCTTCTATGGAGATAATTATGTGTATCCGGTGAGGAGCATCTCGTACGAGGAGAAGACGGTCATAATCCACGATCTGAAGCTCAGTTCTTACTTCAGAGGATGGAACTGTGATTTTGTTTATGATTTCAGGAAGCCACTCCCAGGGTTTAATTTCACATCCATTTCTGAGACGCTGCCCTCTGGGGAATCCTTATTTAACTGCAGACAAGACTATGATTTCTCCCACGATATGTTTCAGGTGGATTATAATCTGTCTCTCTGCAAAAACTATAGCCTTTATTACTTCGAGGGCAATGGGGATCAGAGTTACAGTTCGCTTCCCAGCAGCTGTTCTTCTTCGAAAGATCTATGGTTCCATTGGAAACTTTTCTTTGGAGGAGAGAATGATAAAGAAATCTCTCTGCTTGGTTTGGGGTTTTCGCCACGATGGGTGGGCACTGATTGCTTCAGCTGCCAGATTTCTGCAAGGAATTGCAGTGATGGGGATGATTCTGCATGCAGTTGCAGCAGCACTTGCCAGGGTAATTTGATTTTATTGATCTGTCTAAAGTTTGTGTTTTTGGTGGATTCATTGGGGGATTCTACTGATTAGATAATTGTGTCTGACTTCTTATGTGTTGCAACAGCGAAGAAGCGAAGGAGCAACACGGGGATTATTATTGGTGAGTTTTCAGTATCTCAGTCCAACCATCTCTTTAGTGTTTGCTCCTGTTTTGTTCTAAAATTTACTGAAGATTTTTCAATTTGCAATCATGGAATATGAAATACAGTTTTAAGAAATAGTATAACAGTAATAATAATAAAAAAAAGGTATTTGTGGAATACCTTCTCAGAATGGATGATCTTAAAGTGAGGCTTTGACTGAGGGAAGAAGAGGGATTAAGTTTCAAAAAGGAGAACTTTTTGGCTAAAAAGTTTATACTTTTTTCCTTAATCAGTAACCACAGACTGATTAGCATATCTTATATGAATGATTTTTCGAAGCCCACAAAAATTCTACTTTCAATCGCTGTAGATTTAAAATCTACACACAGCTGCTTTAAAAAATGCCAAGCCTTGTTTTTAATTAAATTTTTATTCTGGTTAGAGCAGTCGTAGTCCAAATTCCGAATCCAATAGTTTCTGTAACAGATTATAAATTTGTGGATGAATCATTTCAGTGATATCCAATGCAATCTTAAAAGTGAAAATTCCTGTAAATTCATTACAACAGTTCAGCGAACTCATAATAACTTTCCCATATGGCAAAATCAGGTGCATCCATTGCTGCCAGTTTTAGCGTCTTCATCACAGGCTGTATACTCTGCTTTGTCTACTTACGACACCGGCGGCGCAACAGAGACCAACATCCTAAACAAAATCATTCCAGTTCCTCCAGCCTCCTCTTCTACCAATCATCCAACCTCAGTCCTATGTTCTCCGAGAAGGACTCTGAGCTCGCCTGCTACCACTATCAGACCCACATTTTCTCATACGATGAGCTCTACGAAGCGACCAATTCCTTCGACCCCGCAATGGAGGTTGGCGACGGCGGGTTCGGCACCGTCTATAAAGGTATGCACGCTCTCAAAACCTCTTCGTCAAAAAGATGATCTTTTTTTCAGAAATTTTAACAAACCTTTTGTCTGCCCCCGCAGGGAAGCTTCGGGACGGCCGTGCAGTCGCCGTGAAACGCTTGTACGAGAGCAACTTCAAGCGAGCGGAGCAGTTCTCCAATGAGATAGTGATCCTCTCCCGCGTCCGCCACCAAAATCTCGTCTCCCTCTATGGCTGCACCTCGCCGAGAAGTCGCGAGCTCGTACTCGTCTACGAGTTCGTCCCCAACGGTACTGTGGCTGACCACATCCATGGCAACCTCGCCCACAAAGGCCGGCTCACTTGGCCCTTCCGTCTCTCCATTGCAGTCGAAACAGCGACCGCACTCGCCTACCTCCACGCCATTGACCCCCCTATCATTCACCGCGACGTGAAGACCGGAAACATCCTCCTCGACGCCGAATTCCATGTCAAAGTTGCCGACTTTGGTCTCTCCCGCCTATTTCCACCCGATGGCTCCACTCACATTTCAACCGCACCGCAGGGCACGCCGGGCTACCTCGACCCGGAATACCATCAGTGTTATCAGCTCACAGACCGGAGCGATGTCTACAGCTTCGGCGTCGTACTCGTCGAGCTCATATCGTCGAAACCAGCCGTCGACTTCGACCGCGACCGGCTCGAGATAAACCTATCAACAATGGCGATGAACCGCATACAAAAGGGGAATTTGGATGACTTAATGGATCAGAAACTTGGGTTCGACACCAACATGCAGACGAGGAGGATGATGAGGCTTGTGGCGGAGCTTGCTTTCCGGTGTTTGCAGACCGATAGAGAGATGAGGCCGTCAATAAAGGAAGTGCTTGAAGTGTTGAAGGAAATTCGGAGTGGTGTTCTGTTGGAGCATTCCAACGAACATGTTGTGAGCAATGCGGGAAGTCAGAACGAGAAGCGGCCTTGCTCACCGGAATCGGTGACGGAAAAGTGGGCGAGTAGGTCTTCAACTCCTAATTCCAGCCTTCGAGGTTCCTGACGAAATTCTACTTCTTCTTTACTGTTTACTGCTGAGGTTTTTTACGGTTCGAGTAATCGTGTACAGTTAAAGAAGAAGGTTAGTGCGACCTGTTTGTAAATTAACTATCTTCTTTTCTTATTTTTTGTAATTTCTTCTCTTCGTTTTCTTTTTCTCCTTTTTTTTTTTATCTATTTCTTACAACTATAAATTGATTGCTAATATTGAGCTCAACGAGTATTTATAACAATTTCATATATATATATATAT